CTGCGCCTGCCGAGGCAGGCCCGGGGACCAGGCGCGGCGGCAGGAGGGGCGGCCGGGGTGGCGGGAGGGGGATTTGGGGGCTGGGGCCTGGCGGGCCGCCCGCCGGAGGCTTGTCCCGCAAGCCCGAGGCCTGACTGGGCGGGCACGCCTAGGGGCAAGAGGAGGCACACAGAGCCCCGCGCTCTGGCGGCCCGCCGGCCAGCCCGAGGGAAATGCGGGAGAGGGGCGCGTGCAGCGGCCTCCGCGCGGAGGAAGAACAGAGCCGGCACCCAGCACAGCGGCCCACGCGGAGGAGAGACGTGGGGGCAGACGCGCGGGCTGGCGCCGCTTGTCGGGGAAGGGGACGCCTGATGGGAGGGTAGGGAAGGGTCCGTGGGAAAGAGGGCAAAGACTGATCCTGGCGAACGGGGCCGCTGGTGATGGCCCAGAAAGAGAGCAACAGGCCTGTGAAGAGACGCAGACAGCGAGACCAGACAGTGAGCGAGCACCGGCAACAAGTGGCTGGGAAACTGAGGCCAGAGAAAGGTGACGGGCCGCACCAGCAGACGGTGCGTGCCCAACGACTCGGGCGAGGCAGGAGCGACAGAAAGTTGGAACGGCGGTTGGAGAGCGGGCAGACTGGGCAGGAGGCTCGGCTGCGCGCGGAGGAGCGGGCAGGAGGGTGGTGTTTGAATGGGTGGGCTGGGCACCGGTCCATACTGGAGCCCGGGAAAACGCTCTGTTGAGGTCACCAGAATGGCTGCACGGGGTGATCTGCGCTGACTGTGCGTTCTTCAGGCAGTTCTCAGTGCGAAAGCGGAGAGGCGTAGCGCAAGAGCCAGCAGGAGCAGTCAAGGATAGGGGCACAGGCGCCACCGCCGGCATTCCTGCGCACCGGAGGGCGGCGGCCTGGTTGCGGAGCCCGAGACCCGCGAGTCAGTGGCACTGGGGACCTGGGCGACCAAGGCGTCGGGGAGAAAAAGGACGAGTGGAGGAGGGTGAAGGGAGCGGCTGGGGAAGTCGCGCGCCTCCGTTCTCTTTTCGCGGGAAGGGGGAGGGTAAGCGCCGGTGGCCTAAGCAGGGACGTCGGACCAGATGGGCAGGACTCTGGAGATGCGCGTGAGCGGAGAGCATGCCCAAGTGCCTGAGTTGAGGGAAGTTCCAAAGAAAGACGAAAACGTCGGACCGGCTTCAACCTCGGTGTGAACGGCCTGGACCACTAAAAGCAACTTGGCGGCCAAGGGCAGGAGGTGCTTTGGAGACCAGGGAGACGGAGGGAACCTGGAAGTTCCGCAGGTCAGGTAAAGGAGCCCGTCTGGCTGTCAGGGAAGTAGTAATGGGGTAC